TCATCCTGCTCAGAAGGAGTGCCTGGCAGAAGAGGCCTGCCCCGAGTTGCACGGTGTGCGATCATGACAGTGAGACACGGGATGAATCTGGAAATCTGCCACCTCAGAGCAAACGAGTTCACACATGTGTGGTTATCCCAATATGTCAAGCATGCAAGTTGTATATATGCGGACGCAGTCACCAGACAGATGCAACCATCTCTCGAACTGAGAAGCTTTGTGATCTTAAGATCAGGGGGGCGTGTAATGAGTTGGTCGGTCAGCTTGAAACCCCCAAAGTGAGTGGAGGTGGGCATGCGCGGGAACTGTGATTGATAGCTGGCTTGTTGGTGTTTTGTATAGGTGACTTACCAAGCTCTATGTAAAGGGCTGGAATGAGAAGGAGGGCAGTTTCAGAAGTGGAGACTGCGTCCGTCGCTATGACAGCTGGGAGAGAAAGAGATGAAATCATTTATTTTTTAGTGACACATTCCAACACATTCAAAAATTTAGATCTAGTGTCAATCACCATTGTCTTCCTGAAATAAGTACTTTTAACATCCTTTCTCCTCAATTATGGCTTCTCATTCTCTTTCACTCCCAGTAATCCCTTGCATCTTAGTGGCATTATTGCCTTGCTTGAAGGTGAATTGAGTATTTAAAAAAATCTTCTTCTATATGGTGTATCCATTTATAACGTGAGTGAACATGGCTCTTTGAGGCCAAGAAAGCGCAGTGTCTTGCTCTCCAGGAGTCTAGCATCAACCATGCTTATAGGGGACAGCAAAGTTACTCTATGGCTGTTAATTGAGAGCAGTTTCATTATGGAGACACACACACATATATATATATATATGTGTATGTATGTATATATATATATGTATATAGATACTTCCAAAGATTCACTAAAAAATCAGCATACATGAGGAAAAAATGCCCTAACTTAATAAAAACAAAGTTCTGTTGTCAAAATATTTATGTTTTTATTAAGAGGAAAGCCCAAAAGATTTTTCAATCATTAAATTATATTTTTAATCCTTTTTCGAACATTCAAAATTTTGAAAAAAATGTTTCTTTTTCTTGCAAGTATCAGTTTCCTTATCTTTGTTTCACTGAATTAAGAGTTATCTTCTTGGAACCAGTTTCAGTTATAGACACACACACACACACACACACACACACATAATAATAAAAAAGGGTTAACTTTCCACACTACCTTAAACAAAAGATTTGGAAGTTAGTTTCCATCAGTATTGGAAAAAGCAATAACAGGGGACTTGAGAACGTTGGATTTATTGAAAATAAATCTAACATCTTTGTCTGAACTCGGAAATTTTATTTATTAAGTATTTTTCTCGTCATTAGGAGTAGATAGGTTTGCTTATCATCCAGTTCACACTCCTCCCCAGTCTTTTGAACAGAAGTATAGTTTATCCCTTGCTTCCTGTTTAGAATCAGGTTTCTAATTACTTGTAAAATTTTTCCATTAACTTTTACTCTCAGTAGTCACTTGTATCTTAGTGGAATTGTTGCCTTGCTTGGGTGAATTAATTAAAAACATATTTTAAGAGAAAGATTTTATAAATATCAATTGATAGTAAGGCTAACAGTTCAGTCAATGAATAATAATGTTTCCTGTATGGAAACGACTATTTTACCATTACCTTATATGAACATTTTATAGATGACTCTGCTTTTCACTTAACAAGAGTTAACAAGGGGAAAAGTGCTCAGTATAGAAGGCAAAGTGCTCATGATTGTGAACATAGGAATCAACATTGCATGGTGAGAGTCAGTATGATGCATTTGAAAATCCCTTGAGTGGGATAAAAAAACAATCACCATGCACTGTTGATTCCTATGTTCATAATCTATCCATGTGTGCATGCGTGTGTGTAAAAGTAAATATATATTTTGATGTTTTGCTAATGCATTTTCTGAAGGTGATGGTTCATTGACGAAGCATTTTAAAACAGACATTTTCTGAATTGTGTTATGTGTGTGTGTGTGTGTGTGTATGTGTGTGTACATGTGAATGATATTTAAATTCTTCTTCTATATACTATTATATTAGTTTATATACATGCCTTGTTAATTGTCACAATAATGTTTATGTTAAGGCTTTTATGAAAACTTTTCACCCTCTACTCAGTTTTTCTGTCAGATATCTTGGCAAGCATAGCTCATTACTGGCATGCCACGATAGATTATTAAGTAACTAGAAAACTACTCTTTTATAACTGCCTTAGTGTCTGGTCAGTAGCAGCAATAAAAAAGCAGCTGCATCCATTATCAACTATGACAATGACCAGTCAATATGTTCATACACCTCACACACATAACATTTATATACAAAATATATCTGGAAAGTATTCAATAATTTAGAATATTTTGAGAACTGGTTGTGTAGCCTTGATGTAACTTGGTAACTGATGAAAGGGATTTCATTGTGAATGAGTGAACAGGGGATCCCCCATGAGGTTACACAGTCAGCAGTGTGATGGTTATTTGTAAGTTTGTATGAATTTAACTTTTTCCTTATTTTCTTTCTTTTTCATAATTTTTCAGATCAGACAATTTTTTCCCCTACCCACAATTTCTTTATTTTTTTCCTTTTAGCTTCCTGTATTTCTTAATTTTCTCTTAAAGTTTTATTCTCCTGTAACCTCTTCTTTTCTCTTATTATCGTTTTCCTATGTTCTTTCTAACTTACACTCTCTATAATTCCAACAACTTTTCCCTTTCTCTCTTCCTCTCCCCAACTGCACGCTCTGTTTATCTTTTTCCTTTCATTTTTCCATCCTCTCTCTCTCTCTCTTCTCTTAAGTCTTTATTACTTTTTATGACCTACTCTTTTCATTTGTCTCTCTCTTCTTTTTTTTTCTTTCTTCCTTTCTTCCAGTCTTCCCTCATTAAAATATTTTGCTACTAAATTCCAGTAACATAAAGTGAACAAGTGATGGAGTCATTTGATTTGAAAATGACAGACAATCCAACTTCATACCTATGAGATTGTTACACACAAACATATTATTCTTGTATTTTGAACTCAAAGCCGACCTTTAACAAACAAACAAATGTAAGACATTTTAGATAAAAAAATAAATAAATTCACTAAAAAAAGAACAAAATGAAAGAAAAGTCCATTGAGCAAATCAGTGTTTTTGAATCCAATCAGTTGTTAGTGAACAGCGGTCATCTGTCGGTCCAGTCGTCTGTTAGCAGATGAATTGGTTATGCTTTCTTTTCAGCCTGATTCTACTAATTTGCATGCAAAGACTGAGGTCATTTCTTGTTTGAAATTCATGGCTTACATCATTTGTTTTTGTCTTTTCCTATTTTTTGTTTTACCAATCAAATTTTTAAGAAAAAAGTTTGTTTCAAGCCAGAATATTATTTTTTTGTTTCCTTGTTCAATTTTCTTATTGCAAGACTCACAGACATTATTAACATTATTGCTTGCTTTGTTTCTGTTTTTGGATATTAATGTTTCCAACATTTTGGTGATTATAGTCGAACTGAAAGTTTCTTGCAGTCCTGGGAAAATTTCCTTCTTCTGTATTTCATTTACTTTTTTCAAAGGAATATTTCAAAAGAAAAAACTATTTGACATTAACTTTTTCACATTCGTTGTTTGTATTTTGCATTTGTCTCATATTACTCATTGTTTATTTTCATTTTTGTTTTGTTAAAGTGTCAAAATATTTCTCATGAGTGAATGCATAGCATTCAATCTCTTTCCACACACTTAGAGAATAAAAAAAAATACTTCTTTTTCCTCAATTATTTAATTTCTGCACAAGCCAAGTGATGTTTCTTCTTGTTTTATGCATCTTCAGGATGTAGGTGATCATGGCTCTCCACAAATTCCTATTGATGGTAACATTATGCAATGTTTGTCCCATTAATATCCCTCCTTGTTCCAATTACTATCCCTCCTACTATTCCTCCCAGTTCTCATTACTGTCCCTCCTGCTATCCCTCCCCATTCCCATTATTATCCCTCCTATGACCCGTCCCTGTTCCCATTACTATCCCTCCTGCTATCCCTCCCTGTTCACATTACTGTCCCTCCTGCTATCCCTCCCTGTTCCCATTACTGTCCCTCCTGCTATCCCTCCTGTTCCCATTACTGTCCCTCCCTGTTCCCCTTACTGTTCCTCCTACTGTCCCTCCTGCTATCCCTCCCTGCTCCCATTACTGTCCCTCCCACGACCCTTCCCTGTTCCCATTACTGTCCCTCCTGCTATCCCTCCCTGTTCCCATTACTGTCCCTCCTGCTATTCCTCCCTGCTCCCATTACTGTCCCTCCTACTATTCCTCCCTGCTCCCATTACTATCCCTTCTACTATCCCTCCCTATTCCCATTACTATCCCTTCTACTATCCCTCCCTATTCCAATTACTATCACTCTCTGTTCTGCCGTCCATTTATAAAAGCTAGTGAGATAGTTTACTTGAGGTTTCCTTCTATTATTTTTTTCCTTCATTATGTCCTGTGAATGTCAAAATTCCCAATCCCTCTTTCCTCATGATGTGTCCTAGAAATTTCAACTATCTCTTTCTGATTCTAAGTACAAGCATCCTTTTTGCTTCTATTATCATTAAAACTTCCTTGTTATTCTTATGTTCTACACATGGTATTCTCAACATCCTTCAACTGTAGAACCACATTTCCATTGATTTCTTTTCTTCATTTTTTAGGAAGGTGTCCAGCTAGATAGGTTGGTTTCTGCCTGTTTCTTTCTATCACTCTTACCTTAAATATGCCCGTAATATGTCAAAATCTTTAAACTCTCTTTCTTGTGCTGTAGAAAATTAAACTCTTGCTTTCTGATGTGGTACAAGGCTGAAAGTATAGCGCACCCATTGAGGATCAAACTCACTATTCAGTTGTAATTGATCTAGCAAGACAATTTTGCTAACCATTATAGCACATGGAAGTGACCTCAGATATTGGAACTCAGTTTTCCAATTAACAATTCTGAGTCATTATCCATTACACCACCTGCATATCCAAACTTACAGCACCTGGTATTCCCAAGTGGTCACCCATCTAGGTACTGACCAGGCTCGACATTGCTTAAATTTGATGATTGTATGGAAACCAGTGTTTCAACATGATGTGGACATAAGCCTGATTTCATTATAAGTGTTGAGGGCTCGCGCAATGCCTGGTCAGCACTGAAGCCTCAAACATACAAAATTTATCATTTACAAGCAAAAATTCAAAACAAAGACAAAACTCAGTTTAACCAAATCTAAAATAACATTTATTCAAAAACAACAGATTGTGTGTGATTTGGTTGTGTATTGTTTTAGTGTTCGAGTTTTTTTTTTTTTTTAAGCATTGTGCCCCAAGCAAGGCGTGAAGCCACTAGGATGCAGGGGGTTTGGAGCGAGAGCAGATAAGAGTGATAGGAGAAAGGAAGAGGAGAAGGATAGTGGGTAGATCAAGGTAATTGGAGATGTCGATTGACATTACATTTGAATAGTTGGAGATTATAGCTTTCAGGGAAACAGTAATTGGGGAGGGTGTTCCACTGGCGAGAGGTGCGAGGTATGAAGCTATTGGAGTAGAAGAGACGGCTACATTTGAAGGTTTCTATGGTGTAAGGGTGAGAGCGGGATGCCAGCCTCAGAGGGCGCTTGAATTCATGGAGTCTGGGAACCAGAGAGAGCAGCTCATCAGAGCAGTTACCATGGAAGTATTTGTAGAAAAAAAACAGAGAGAGGCGACGCGTGTCTGTGAGAGAGTGACTGCAAGCAAGACGCTAGATCAGGGCCAATTAGATTACATATCCTTCTCTGGATCTTGTCAAGAACTCCGAGGTAAGCAGAAGGTGCTCCAGCCCATATATGGCAGCAATACTCCATGCAAGGGTGAATGGTTGTTTTGTATATTTGAAGTATCGATTCAGGGGAGAAAAATTTCCTGGCGCGGCACAGATATAGGTAAAAGTTGTTTTCACAGTTGTGCATATGATGAAGAGTACAAAATGTCTTTTCCTTAATTTTATTTGTGAGATAGTAAGTAAAAAGAAAAATGTCAGTGAAACAGTACTTAACTAGTGTCATTTATATAGGATGTTCCCAGTTCTTGACCTGGTTACCATGGCAATGTCATGAATCAGTGAATTTGTTCTTTCGCTGTGGTCATTGAATGAGTGGAAAAAAGGGATGAGTGACTGCTTTCCTTCCTACTATCATGAAGTTCAGTAGTTTATATGTTTACGATGGCTGTTGATGATGTAGGGTGCGGATGTAGTTGTAAGCTAAAATTCACACTTACTTGAGATAAATGCTTATGGTGAGGAAAATGAGTGGAGGAAAAAACATTTTTCTGACCAATCATTTTTAGGTTCACTATTCCTTTTTGTTTCCACTTTCTGTAGAAACCATGTCTCCATTGACATATCTTCGTCCTTGAGGAAGTCGTCACACATTCTCGACCATATAAGTGAAATTGATATTTACATAGGTTATAATTCCCTGTGAAAGTTAATTGGGTAACATTTCTATTTGTAAATTTTATTGCTTGACTTTCAATAACTTGGTCATGATTTAATGAATTTAATTCTTTATTTTTGCTCTCAAGTATTTTGCATGGAAAGTGGAGTAATGGATAGCATCTCAGATTGAGGAATCAGAGAGCCGAGTTCAAATTCCAGTTGAAGCCATTACATTCACTTACATTCTAATACCCTTAGAAAAGGTATGAATCCTCTTCTTCTTCCTCCAGCTATGGGTAAATAGCAGGACAGACAGAGTTCTATAGCTTTGGATAAAGAAATGGCAACCTACTGCAGGAAAAAAATCAGCTTTGTCAGTCATGTGTAGAAAGATACATGATCGTCTAAGCATGTATCATGCATTGCACATAATTGACTGACTGATTCAAGATATGATGTGCATTTAACCATTGTAGCTATAAAAGGCTTCATTGATTAAAGGTGATATACTGCGTATTTAAGCACATCCCTCTTGTCTATATTTCCAAAAGTTCATAATATCTTTGCTTCATATCTGAAAAATAAACCTATTTCTAAAAATTTAATGGATATTTTATTTATTAATCCAACATATATTTATCGCTTTAAATATGACTGCACTTAATAAGTGAGGATTTCTTAAATATTGAGGCTGGTAGATATAAATAAATATAATGTTTAAAAGATAAACAGAGAATTTACTGAAACATAGGCATACACTATAAATAATGTCTAAAGAGATAAAACATAATTTCATAATAGTTGCTTGCTTTACAGAGTTATGCACTTTTTGAGATGATGATGCCTTTGCTGGAAACATTCTTGGAACTTGTTTTCCAGTATGGCTATCAGTAATATAGTCACCAGCTCTAAATGTGTCTCTCTTCATTCATCTGCAAAAATTTTTGTGTTTGGTGATTTTAATGCTCATGACATCAAGTTGTTTAATCATTTTAATGTTACTGATGTTTCCAGTATTCAAACTATATATTTTTCCGTTGCTCAGCCTCTTGGTCAAATAGTGGATTTCTCTATTTGTTTCCCTTATAAATCTGATCAACATTCTTCTTTACTGGATTTGTTCCTTACCTCCTCTCCTAAACACTATTTACATTATTCAGACTATTGTCCTCATCTTTGTTGCCACATTTATTACAACATCCGTTATCTCCTGTTAATTCCCTCTCCAAGTTCTCCACCACCTTAATCAGGTATTGCACTCACTCTTTGGGTCCTGTCACTAGATCTAACTAACACCTTTATCCACTGTGCTATGTGTCCTTGAGGAAATATAGACAGATACTCCTCTCTTAGGTCTCATCCAACCTCACAACCCTGTCCTATTGGCAATTTGTATAATGCTGTAGTATCTGTTGAGATTTCTTTCAAGTCATCTATTAGACGTAAACCTTCTATTCACAAGCCTTCTTTCTATTACCAGCGTACCAAATGGGATTCATTTTGTGATTTTCTTTGTGATGCCCCTTGGAGTGATATCTTTAACCTTACTACTGAGAATTGTGCAACTGAGGTTTCTTCTTGGATAAAGGCTGACATCAGTGCTTTCATGCCTTCTCATGAATACCAGATGAAACCACAATCTTCTCCTGGGTTTACACCTGCCTGTTCAGCTGCTATAGCCCACAGGAATCATTTTTTCCTACTGTATTAGTTCTGATCACCTCTTGGTGTCCACTCATAATAATTGCAAAAGTGTCCTCAAAGAGGCTAATTCTTTTTTTTACATTCAGTAATTACTTGTGTCTAAGTAGCTTTATCACCTTTCTTGAGGTGAAATGAAAAAACAACAAAAAATCCTTAAAAGCTTTCTAAAATTTTATTAAATTATATATGAAAATTAATAATGCCTCTAGCTGATCAAATGATGCTTTTCTCCTTATCATTTTTTTAAGCCATATCACCCCAAGCAAGGTAGGAGTGCCACTAGCACACAAGGCGTTACAGATAGTTTAGCAAGAGTAAAGAGGGGTGTTTGAGGAAAGGATAAAGAGAAGGATGGGGATCAAGTTCAAGGCATCAGAAGATGTCAACTGACATTATATTTGAATATTTGAAGATTATAGCTATCAGGAAAGTATGTAGGAGAAAGGGAGTTCCACTGATGAGAAGTGTGAGATGAGAAGCTGTTGGAGTAGAAGAAATGACTACATTTAACTGTTTTGACAGTAAAAGGGTGGGACTGAGATGCCAAGCTAGTAGCACGCTTAAATTCATGCAGTTTGGGTACCAGTGAAAGTAGCTCATTAGTAGCAATGAAAATATTTGTAGAAAAGACAGAGAGAAGCCACAGCACATCTGTGAGAATGTGACTGTAGACAAGATGCCAGATCAGGACCTATTACATTGCATGTCCATCTCTGGATTTTGTCGAGAACCTTGAGATGAATAGCAGGGGCACCAAACCATATATGGCAGCAGTATTCAATGCAAGGTCAAATGGTAGATTTGAAGAATGGACTCAGATGAGGAAAACCTTCTGGCGTGCCACAGAGAACCAACTTTCCTTGTGATAGATGAAGTTATTGAAAGAAAATTAGTTCAGGTATTTGAATTTGTTTTGTTTTATTTTAATAAACATCTAGTAATTATTTTTATCACTTTGAAGCATTCATCTTTTTGGTGATCAATCTGTCTGCCATTAAAGTATTCTTTCATTCTGCTAAGAAAAACTCATTTCAGAGTTTCAAAGTCAATTGTTTACTCCACCTAAGAAGTTTTCTTCTTCATTACTTAACAAAACGAAAGTACTTCTGTCACCACACTCCAAAATCGTTTTTGATGCTCACTACAAAAGTATATGTCTCAATCCCTATCACTGCTAAATGAGTCATCCCTAAAACTCTCCCACCTTATTTACCAAATAAATGCTTACTGCTTATCTCTTCTTAGTGCTGTTTAACCCTTCTCAATAGCTCATCCCCACTAGTGTTATCCTCTTCTTGAGAACAAGCTTATAAGAATTATTCTAAAAACCTAACAAACATTATCATACACCAAGCAAAAAGTTCATAATCCATTGTTGGACAGCCAAATAGACATTCAGTACAATTTTCCTTCTGACATTAAAAAAAGGATGGAAAAAAAAACGAAACAGAAATCTGTTCTTATTTTCCATTGATATCCAAAGTAAAAGCAAATGATTCCAAGAAATAATCTTTCTGTATTTCTTCATCAGCTTCTTCTGCATCTTTCTTCTGCATTAATCTCATGAATAATTGCATTTTATCAGTCTGGATTGGAAAATCTGACAGCTGTCTCTGCCAATCCGACAATTTGCTATCTTGCCATCTATTAAGGATGTTCTGCTTTGTGGTGGCCAATCCATTTTCTCTGGTTTTGATTGCACCAATGAAATCTTGAAAATAATAGCATAATCATTATAGGTGGCCTTGTAGAAGTGCGTACTGGACTGACTGATGATGTGTCAGTATTGCACATCATTCCGAACAGGATGTCCTGATATTCTTGGCTACAATGGAGATTTTTTTCCATAAATGGATATATATTTTTAAGACATTTTTATGTTTATACATTCCTTTTATAGATACAAATATTTAAATAAATGCTTTGTTTATAATAAACAGTATTAAGCAACATTTACTGGCCTGAATATCCGAGAA